TGAACACAGGTGTTATGAGCAGTTCAAATGTTGTCATTTTGTCAAGCCGTTCACCTGGATAGGATCTAGATGCAACACCCTTGTGCAAAGACAGGTTAACCTCTTGCCTTTTACCTTCACTGCTAGCACAGCTTGCAAGAATTGTCCGATAATAGATTGAAGATGACTCCTGCAGTTTCAAACGATAGCCTTAATGATTTTCACATGGCTTCAGTTTTCCTGCTTTAATATATCATGCAGCAGGAACTCTGCACCTTCGGCTTCACAGTCCCTGCCGTTTTATAATATTGGACAACGGTGTTTGCCCTGGACGAAGACCTTTTTTAATTCTTCAGGTGGTCCTATGTCACACCTTGCGAGCAGCGTGTTTCACTTTTATGGGCATGTTATAACCGTTTTGACAGCAGTGTTTTTACTATTTTTCATACTTCTTGACCTTCAGCAAGTGAGCTGTTTTCGTTAATCATGCTGGCCAACTATTCTTTCTCCTGTGACGTGTTGGAATGTACTGAGTGACAGTGTATTTTGCACTAATAGAAGTGTTTTAACTTTAGAATCACATTTGTGGGAGAATTCTTGCTTCATTTAACATATGAAAAAGAAAGCTTAAATTCCAGCCTGTCTACAAACACAAAAAGGATTTGACCACATATCCTAATCTAGTAAGGTCAGCAAATCACTTTCCAGTAAAAAAAAAAAAAAAAAAAAGTGGTGGGTGTGGGGGAGTTATGCGATAACTTCAGGACCACTTATGGCATAGCCATAACTACGGTCTGCAATTCTTTAAAAAAGAAAAGGCTTTGAAAAGTTGAAGCAAGACAAAATTAGAGTACATACTTTTTTCTTTCTTCTTTTCTTTTGCATGATGTATACCATCTTGCCATGACCCTGCAGGCACCACTCATTTGAGGAATAACACAAGTGCAACAATGCTTATGTGCACTTGTTAAAAGTGTGTGGCAGTGTTAAGGAGTACTGACACAAAAATGTGTTTTTTTTTGCTTCAAACGAAAGGCCAAGCTCAAGAGCCTAGAAAATGTACTGGTAAGCTTGATGTCACTCTTAAATGGTAATTACAGTATGTTTTCAAAAGATCGTTTCAGTTCTAACAGTAGCCTAACCTCAACATGGTATGCGCTTGTTAAGTGCTCACGCAAGATTTCATGACATACCCTAGGCTGCTCTGTCTCTGGCTCAGTTGGGGATGCATAGGCGGCCATTTAGAACATTTTGGTGCCTGACGTCATCACAACTAGCAATACTAGTACGTAAAGTCACCAGAATTTACTTGTAGTCTGACATCAAGCTAGTGTTGATGTCAGTAGGTGCACTATGGAAAATTGGACTTCAATGTCAAAATAAGATGTCAGCATTTGCAGAGCATTACCCTTGCACAGAGCTCCCTTGTGCTTCACCCTGTGTATGCAGATTTGTATGGCATTGTATACTCATCTTCTTTAAACTAAGTACTCCTTTACACTGCATACATAAAGGGCCAGTACACAACCCTGAGAGCCATTGTAATGAAGAGAAATATGTGCTCTTTTGCTATGTGAACACGCTACTGCAAGAATTTTGCAAATTTGTGCTATAATAAGGAGTGACAGGGGTTAGAACATTTGTTTCAGCTGGTTTCGAATTTTCGCACATTCTTCTCTGCTTCTCCCCTTCTCTGCTGCAAGGAGGGGATGGTGTAGCCTGTCGTCGTGATTCCACTCACTTCAGCAATGTGACGCGATGTCAGTTAAAAGTCATGTGATATAATGACAGTGATATGTGCATGACCAAGCAGGGCTGCTCCCATGTGGGCATATGTCATAATGATGTGAGGAGTATCCTTCCCCTGGCGGTAAAGTAGCAAGATGCCTCTTTATCTGGGAGGCTTTTGTTTGGGCAATACCACTTCCCTCGATAGTTTCGGGCTCTACAAAATGGCAGAGGAAAATAAAAATGTAGACTGTGATGCTGAAACTCTATCACTGCAGGGCCAAAGCGTCGTTTCGTAGGGCAAAAGACCAACCGATGAGCTCAGTGGTACGTCAAGTTGCCCATGGGCAAGTTTGCGTTACTGCACATAAAAGGGGGATTGGTCAGGCACGGGAATTTTTTTTTTAATGAAGGGTTTGCTCAGCGGGCGGCACTAATATTTGAAAAATGTGATCGGCCTGGTCTACTGTGCGAATTGGTGAGCTTGTTTTGGGGAAGGGTATGAAAAAAAAACACAAGTTTGAGCCTGTTTACTGGCCCTGTTACATTGCTAGCAAAGGCTGTGAAGTCATCAACAGGTGCCATTTTGGTACTGCACTTATCATCATCACTATCAACTTATTTTATGTCTACTGTAACATGAAGGCCTCTCTCAATGATCTCGAATTTATCTTTTTTTGCATGAACAGACTACATTTGCTGCCTTCCAAATTTTTAGTTTTGTCACCCCATGTAGCCGTCCGACAACCTTGACTGCATTTTCCATTCCTTGGTGTAAATCCTGCAGCTTTAACTGAGCATTGGTTGCCCATCTTATGCAATACATGACAAACCAAGGTCTATTTTTTTGTTTTAATGCCAACCACATTATCAGCTACCCCTTTTGGTTTTCTCTGATCCATTCTGTTCCTATTTTCTCATTGACTTATGGGCACATCCTCTGTATTGTAGGGCTCCCTGAAGAAAGAAAAGATTTGGGTTTTGTTATCTGTAAAGACATTAAAGCAACATTGATCAATTCTACAGTATCGATGAAATGGTAGCAAGTTTCATGGTAAAACCACACTCGGATAATGAAATCATTCATATTAAAACCACTCTTAAGTAACAAAACCAAGTTTGAAGGTGGAACAGCCAGCAAGAGATGAGGAGTTTTGTTACGTTTGCACAGGGACAGTACAGAACTTTGCCTAGAAGAGGGTTCTCATGATATCAGGCATATGTTGAAGTAAACATTCAGCAACTTTTTTTCTGTAAGATACTTACCCAAGTCTAGCTTATTCTTACACATGCTGCTGTGGATGTACCCACTAGTTTTTGCTTATCTAGAGTGAATGTTGAAGGGTGTTTGAACTATTTCTTTTTGTTAGGTGGAAAAGGTGTGATACATGTACAATGACTGATTCCAGCAATGGTACATATGCATGTTAAATTGAAATAAAGTCTAATAACAATAAAATTGTAAATGCTGGTTTTAGATAAAAGGTACGGATGTGTGGATATTTCAAACTTCGAATATTCAATTTGAATAGTTCAAGTAGAAACATACTTTTACTATTCAATATATTCGAACACGCCATAATTCTAACACACATTCATAACCTTTTTCTGGGGCATACAAGTGACATTTAAAGTGTTATATCAGCCAGGTCATGATCTATTTCACAGAAACAATAAGAAAAATGGAGTTTTTTTTTAACTTTTTTTTTTTTGCAATAGCCTGCAACTATTGTGAAACTTCCACTACTTCTCCACTCAGTGCTGCTTCCACTGTATTCTTAGTCTAGCCTTAAGTGCATTATGCTCCCTTCACACTTGTTGCCACACCGAGCCCTTCCCGTGATAAACCAATGTACAAAACGTAAAAGCTTGGAAGTTAGTTTCAAGCTCTCCGATTGGCCGCGTCCACCACATGGCTCCAGCACGTTGAATGATGAACTTATATTCAAGAAGACCCCCAAAACAAATAAGCAGGTATTATGAAATGAAAATTAAGTGCCCATAGAATAAGGAAATCCAGTATTATTTTCAGTAACCCTATAAAGAAGCAACTGCTCTGGACATCATGTCAGGCATTTGTCGCTATGCCTCCCAGTTCAGATCGCCTGCTTGAAAGATTGAACTATAACAACCAAAAGTATATCGGCACTAGTGTGTGTAGCGAGCGGGTGTTTATGTTCTTCGGAGGAATGGTGTCATGCTGTTGCTGCTCCCCAAACAAACGAAGCAGCTATCCTTCCTTCACAACAACATTGTTTAACTGCAGATGTGATGCTTTCAAGGAATGGTGTCGTATAGTGGGGATGGAAAGAAATGCAAACAGTGTGGCATCTATCTTCTCTGCTGCTTTGTATTTTTTTCAAACAGTTGTAGCCTGTGTGGTAATAAAAAGCTTTTGAAGTCATTCATGGTACTATCAAGAACCACTCCAGCATCATTTTATTGTCACCAAGATCAGAGCATAAAATAACAGTGAACCTTGTAACTTGTGTTTCGTTTCATGCCCTCTTGTACGTTGCATAATTACCCTCTGCATTGTTTGCTGTATAAAAGTCTTCGTTTTTTATGTCTGGTTCATAGAAATTTTTTTTTGCAGAAGTCAGTAATGGCACCATTCATTTTCCAAAATATTGAAAAAGTGTTCTATTTGATTCAAACTTAGATTTCATTATTTGAATTCAATTCAAAGTTAAAAATTTGATATTAACACACCTATATCAAAAAGCTTCCTTGAGTCTACTGCTTCTTGTCATTACTACTTTTTTTGATGTGCAGGTGAAACAAAAAGTTGAGCAGTACTGAAAAAACAAATCAATTAAATTTTATTGTGCTGGAAACAAAAGCTTTGATAAATGCTGATTCTCATATATTAAGAGTCTGAAACAACCTTCATTACTGTTAAAGAGTGAACTTTGAACATGTAAAACCCTATCGACCATTCCTGGGCCACATGAGCAGCATGGTGTCTCTCATCACATCATGGTTGTGAGATGTTAAACTCCATCAATTATAATATGATCAGTACGTTAAAATGTGTATCGTGCAGTGTTGTCTCCTCACGTTTAAATAACTCTTATACAGAATGTTCATAAAGACGTAGGCATTGTGAGAAAGGAGAAGTTTAATATATATTTAACTGCCGAAAATCACCTTTGAGGTTGCCTTACTATGTATTACTTTCTGTAATGTGTTGTTGCTCTCAGTAAAACTTCGACTTTATTATTTTTCTTTATAGTTTGGGGAGCATAACTGCCGTATCCTTAAGCCTCCTGTGTTCTTTTGTGCTGTTTCAGGCTGGTGGCTTATTGCTTCGGTCATACTTGCTGTTGAAACATACAAGTCATTTTACCCTATCATGCTTTTACTCCCTGCACTGCTGTACCTGTATGAGGTAAGTAAATGGAAGGTATATATCAAGTTAATCCATTACCAGCATGACATAATTTAGTGGGCTCGTATTAGGACATCCATATGGGTAGGAATTTATCAGCATTTGTAACCTTGTAGTGTTCCAACAGGGGGAAGTGTATGACATCACAAGTCCATAATAGGAACTGAGAGGGGAGTGGTTGGTGTGATGTCATACCTTGGCAGGCAAAAGCAGTATAGATTGTGCAATGTCACATTTTAATCTTCACTGCTAGACCATTGGGGAAGAGAGCGAAATCCAGTTGTGAGGGAATTTGCAGATTGTGTCTGGTAAGTCTGGTGCTTGGAAGGTTCAGACTTGCCTTGAGAAGGCACACACCTTGAGTACAGTTCGAAATCAATGCATTGCCTTTGCTAAAAGGTACTAAAATTCATGTTGAGGAATGTTACCAATAAAAGGCTAAAGTGATCCGACAGAAAGTGCACTCCAAATCGGAAGAAACTTGTAAGGCTCATTTGGCTATAGCAGTTAAAAAAATGCACTGAAAAAGTGCTGCAGAACCAGAGGAGGAATGCCAACATCAGTTCCCAAGGGAGGCTAACGCCCTATAGTGGTGCTCACTAATTTGGTTTGTTGCAAGAGGGGCACTGAATGCTAAATAATTTCTATGGACTTATTGGTACTTGTGAACACATCTAAATATCAATATTATTGGTGAGAGCACTTTATTTTTCGGGATATAAAAGTAAATATACATAATAAAATGCAACTCTAGCGAAGCATTCTGGTACTAGCCTGAGGCTCTACCTTTAAGTGCTGTGAGCATCAGATTTAATAATGGGAGTCGTAAACACCTCATGGCCATCATGTTTAAGAGGCCATGATTGAGGTGATGTGGGTAATTGAAGTCTTGACACCTGTGTGCTACCTTCTCATCAGCTTAATTAATGTGTAGGGCTTTGCTGGATCTTGAAACTTGCTCTGCATGTTAGTAAGGAAAAACGCCTTGTGAATGTGATGTCAGCTCATTTTCTGGCAGCTTTTTTGTATTGTAAGCATATTTTTGGCAAGAAATTGTAGTACCAACATTTGGGCGATGAAAAGCAGGAATGGTGTATGCCATGCTAGTTTTCACTGATGGGGGAGTGATTTAGATTGTTTGAAAAGTTTTTGGACCTTCCAAATGTTTTTTATTTGCAGCATTCTTTTTGCACAAAGGCAGGGTTGTGAGTTTCCTGGAATGGTACTCCATCAATGCCCGCCGTTTTAATATTTGCTTTAAGCGTCCTTTACAGGCTCGCAAGGAGTTACTGCTGATTCATTTAAGCTAATTGGTCAACCAGTAGTTTTTTTTTTTGTTTCAACATTCTCATTTTTGGTCACTGTAATATTGTTGTACCGAAAGGGAAATGAAAACAAGTCTACCTTAGTTCCTTTCTTTTCACTGTTAGCATATTCTCTCAATGAGCAGAGAAATGCTAAATGCTATATATCCAACCTCAACCAATACGTTCATGTGGGAGAACAACAGTCCGGCTGCCTTCCAGTGACATTTGGCGTTCCGCAGGGGAGCGTACTCGGCCCCCTACTGTTTTTGGTCTGCATAAACGACATTGGCAATGTAATTAGCACCCCTGTACAAGTTCGTCTATTTGCGAACGATTGTGTTTTGTTTAGAGAAGTAACCTGCATTAGTGACCAATGCGACCTTAATACTAACTTGGGCAATGTCTCAAAATGGTGTGAACAGTGGGGAATGCTTCTTAATGCAAATAAATGTGTGTATCTCCGTCTAACGTGCAAAAAAGTCCCCTTAGACTGCACATACAATTTAACTGAAGCACCTTTGCTTAAAGTAGCCCCCTATAAATACTTAGGTGTAACGTTAACGAGTACCTTATCGTGGAATATACACATAAATAACATTTGCTCTGCTGCTTTCCAGAAATTATGCCTTCTCCGCCACAAAACTCAAGACTGCCCCCCCCCCCCCCCCCCCCGCCTAGTGTTAAACTCCTGTCCTACTTTTCCTTAATTTGGCCAAAACATGGGTATGCCTCCATAGTTTTGGATCCCCACACAAAAATTAACATTCAAAACAAACCTAGAAAGAATTGAAAGGAAAGCAGTGCAGTTTATTTATAGTAAATTTAACTCAACCGATTCCTCCACTGCACTACTAACTGCAAGTAGTATTGAATTATTACAAACTTGGAGAAAAAATTGTCGTCTAGAGTTTCTTTCCGACATAGTAAACCACAGGCTATCCTTGGACACTGCAGCGTACGTTTTCCCCTTGTTAAGCAGACCCACTCTGCACCACTATTCTCATTCCCTAATGCCATTCTTTGCAAGGACTGGCACTTTTCACTACTCATTTTTTCCACAAACTATAGCTGATTGCAATAAACTGAAGCATTCCCTGAACGTCCTTGACCATTTGTGCAAATACTGTTTTTCGTTTGTTACTTCCTTATAATTGTATCAGCCCCGCCGCAGTGGTCTAGTGGCTAAGGTACTCGGCTGCTGACCCGCAGGTTGCGGGTTCGATTCCCGGCTGCGGCGGCTGCATTTCCAATGGAGGCGGAAATGTTGTAGGCCCGTGTGCTCAGATTTGGGTGCACGTTAAAGAACCCCAGGTGGTCGAAATTTCCGGAGCCCTCCACTACGGCGTCTCTCATAATCATATGGTGGTTTTGGGACGTTAAACCCCACAAATCAATCAATTATAATTGTATCATGACCAATTTGTTTTTTTTTCTTTCGTCTTACAACCAAAATTATTTTCTAAAAAAAACTTTGTAAAACTTGTTCTCTGTTATTGTTATGTGTGTATGTATTTTGCTCACTCTGCTTGGACTTTTTGTCTGCAGTATTTTATAAATGAATAAATACAAAAATGCAGAAGTATTGTTTTTTATTGCATTTGTTCCATGCTGTATCACCCTTAGGTGAAAAGAAGTGCTTGTAGTCATCGGCAAGCCAGCCTTTTAGTATCAGCTGTTGTCATCACCTTCTTGGTCACTCTGGGAGGGCTCCTGTATGGATCATACCTGGTCACTGGCTCCTGGCAGTTTCTCCACTCTACCTATGGCTGCATGTAAGATTTTTTGTGTAGCATGTTTGCTTCTTTAGCTTTGCCTGAGTGGTAATCTACATGCTATCCTATGGTTGAAACCAATGAGTCTAGGGCATGTGGCAATATTCTCAAAACTTGTCTATATATATATATATATATATATATATATATATATAGTGAAACATTCATTTTGAGGACCTGATAATGCAGTTTTTCTCGGCTTCTTGCAATTATATGAACTAGCTAATGACATTAAGGTCTTGTTAATTTAGATATGTTTGTCTGCAGCCTGTTTTTTTTCAAGTGATTCTCAGAGTGCACTATGCACAAAGCACCACTGATTGGTGATGCTAAAAACTGAAGTGGTGATAGCATTCTAAATAAACAAAGCAGTGCAATTTCAGAATTTTTTGGTGCTGTGATAGAAAATTTTCATGCACGAGGCAGCTGGCTTCAGTCAAAGGCTAACCATCTCTATTAGGTCAGCCAGCTTGAAACTGCTTCAAAATGATAAATGCACCAAATCGGTCTAAAACTAAATTTAGTCTGCTCCAAGCTGCTCTTGAATTCTTTTTTACTTCCTCCAAAAATTGCTTCAAAGTGGCTTTGGGCAGTCCCATCTTTGAATGCAGCAAAATTTAACTATGACACACAGCTGTCTATTATAACAGAATGCAGTCAACAAAATAATGAGAAATTTCCAGCAGGCTAGAGTATCTGTACTGTGGCATTTAATGCATAAGATCTGACACTGTAACAGCATATTCATGCTTTTATTGTGTTGAGGAGGAGGAGGAAGGAAGGAGGAAGGACAGGGAGGAGGTTTTGTGAAGTGTCAGTATACCCGGCTGTAGCAACTGCATTTTCAATGAGGCAAAAATGTTTTAGACCCGTTTACTTATATTTAGGTGCACGTTAAAAAACCTCAGGTGATCAAAATTTCTAGAGCCCTCCACTACGGCGTCTCTCATAATTACATGGTGGTTTTGGGATGTTAAATCCCAGATATTATTAAAGTGTCATTTAACTGAGGCAGGAGTAACATAATAGTTGACATAAGTATCCCAGCATATAGTTAGTGTTGTTAATAATATTTTCAATGTGCACTGTCTAGTTAGATTACACTATATAATAAAACCAAAGTTATATATAAAAAAAGAATGGTATCTAAGTAAACCCTGTTTGAGAGATGAAAGGGTAGAATCTTAGTGTCCCAGGTGCATTGCGTAACTTTGTATTGTTTGAAATTTTGCTTGCGGACACTTGTTTGCACCATACTCGGCGACAGCTTTTCTTGACAGCACTGTGGAAGCTATAGAGCCGAACCGCCTGCATACGCGCGCGCCAGGAAATAGTACCTATTTTATTTTCTGATTCTAATAGCTACTTGGCCCGAATAAATAAAACTTTCTTCATTATAAGGATAGAACAAGTATGGGACGCTGTTCATGGAAAAGAAGTTATCGTGCGCCCTAGTTTTTTTTCTTTTTTATTTCTTGGACGGCACCACGTTTTCCGCACGCCGGCTGCGTTTGCTGCTTGCTCTTGCAGCGGCGAGCACAGCATCGGCCATGGAAAAGCTGCTCATCGTTGGGACGCGCCGTCTTTTATACATCACGCATCGAACTTTCCAGCCTTATCACTGGTGGCCGCGCAAACTCTGAAATAAGCTTCACTGTTCGCGGCTTGCGCGCAATCTTAACAACGATCTACAACAATTGTGAGGCTTCTCGAACACTGAGGCGCAGTCTGCGCCGATCATTGCTGACAGCCTTTGAGGGCGTAAACCGAATACAGCAAAACTGAAACAAGACAGGCCCGTGGCCGGATCGTGCCGCAACCGGCCTTCCATTTCGCCTGTACCAGGGCTCAATACCGTAAACGTTAACATTCGATCACGTGTGGCGTGTACCCGTATATACTGGGCTGAACACGGAACCTAAACTTCACTATTATAAAGGCTAAATAATGCTGGGAAAACGTTCTGAACAACGGAAAATTTTATATGTACCAGTATATAAACAGCACAGTAACTAGCTTCATGTATGCACTCTCATCAAAGTTTAACTCTGACGTTCCCATTTTGCATGCATACATTTTGCTAAACACACTAGCGCAGCGAGCAAGCGAAAACCGAAACTGGAACCGAAATCGGCTGCGAGCTGCCGGACTACTTGCGTAGTAACACAAATGTGCGGAGGCCCCGCCTCCGTAGCCTTCGCTCCAATGTCAAGAAAAAGCTGTCGCCGAGTATAAGCTTATCCTACGAGCATGGTCAGATAGAACATAACACTTTTCCACACTTAAACACACAAAGGGCACCCGAGCTATGTTCATTGACTCTTCGATGCAACACGGAAGAAGCACCACAGACAGATTGTCAACACAAGTTTGGATTTATTAACCCCCAGGGTATAGCTCGGTGCATCAATAATGCTTGCAGGCAAAGGAAGGCTGACCACAAGACCAATGGAGTATATGTGCCTGCTGTGCTACAGGCTAACAGTACTTATTGGTACTATGAACACAAAATTTCATGTAACCAACTCGCTGCAGGCATGTGAACACCCCTCTGTGACAATTGAGGAATCAGTGGAAGAATGCTTGTGTGTGTGCAGTAGGGACATCACGTAGAGGTCAACCAGGGTGCATTCGAGTGATGTGGGCCCATGTGGGGGTTCACCATCTGGAGGGAGTATCTCGGTTTGCATGGTAAAATGAATCTTGCACTGTAGTTGTGTTTTCCACGTTGCGGCTGGGGTTGTGGTTTTTAGCGACCGGGCTAGCTCGGGCCCAGCGCAATGCATAAAAGGTGTACTGACACCAATTTTTGAAGCCTGGTTTACTCTGCGAAAGAGATGGCTCTGAGCAAGTGTGAAGCAGAATAAATACAGATGAGGTATTTTATTTTGATATTAAAGTGAGTTTTCGCATGGTGAAATCACTGATACTGACGCTAGCGTGACACTACATTGTTTAAATTCTGGTGACTTCACGTGCCAGTATGACTAGTCGTGATGATGTCAGACACCAAAACATATCAAATGCCTACTTGCACGTCGCTGAAAGCATTCAAAATGGCCACTTGTGCATTTTTAACGGAGTGATGCAGCAGTGCAGCTTTGGAAATGTCATGGTATCTTGCATGAGCACATCATGAGTGAGAAGCTTACACTGTGTTGTGGCTTCAGAGACATGGTAGGATATGAAACTAGCTTTTAGAACATGATGTAAATAATTTTTCTGGGTGCTCTCATTCTTGCCGGTGCATTTTCTAGGCTTTTGAGAACTTGGTCTTTCATTTGACACAAAGAAGTAACTTATGAAAATTTTCTTGTCAGTACCCTTTTAACTGGGAGATAAGACAACAGCACACACTTTGAATGCCATAGAATCCATTAGCCATATTTTGCAGCAGTTAAATATTGCAGTTGGTCAGATCGGAATGTGTGAATGCGATCGAATCCACATTTAATTAAATATTGTGTCTCTTGAACAATTATAATATCTTCCTGAATATATTTTCTTTTTATAAAATATTTATATATAAAGTTACCTATATGTAGAACTCTATAGTGATTCCCTGCAGATGCGATCTGTATGGGTTCGGCTGTATCACTATCAGTGTTTACTTCATGAAACATTATGCAATTTTCAGCAAAAATAAAGATGTCGGAATAAGTAATGAAAGGAAAATTACTAATGTAAAATACGCATAGCTGGGTTTTTAAGATGAATCGCTGATACTGGAATATACCGTATTTACTCGATTCTACCGTGCCCTCGACTGTAACGCGCACTCGGCTTCACGACGAAAAAAAAAAAGTAAGACATCGATTGCAACGCGCACCGATTTTTCTCGCTGGCCCGCGCGATCACACTACTCGGGAAAACGACTCCTTTCGGGAGCGTCTTCCGTTTAAATATGAGGTACGGGGGAAGCTTGTGTCTATCTGACGTGAATCAAAGCATTGCCGTCACTCTTGTTTTACCGTGGCCCGATGTCAGCATGCGAACTTGCTTTGCCCCCTTGTTCTCGATGGTTGTGGTGCCAGGCATGTCGAAGTAAAGAGGCGTCTAATCGGTATTCCCGATTTTCCCAAGCAGGTAGCCGTTGTTGTGCCGCAAGTTTAGGACGAACCTCTGAAAACTGTGAAGCTTTTCTTCGTACTCCTCCGGCAAGTTTTGGCCCATGCCCGTTCACTTTCGGAGGGAAAAGCCTTTCCTCTTTATAAAGTTATTTAGCCAGCACCTGCTCGCTTTGAACTGGCTCCGCGTTAGCCCTTTTTCTAAAGCTAACTGCATAGCCCGCACTTGGAGCAGTTCTGTCATCACGGGCCGCTGTGCCGCTCGCTGCTCAAGCACATACTCGGCGAGCAGCTCTTCAATTTGCGGAAACCGACCCTGCTGTGGTCCACTGAAGCCTTTGCGTGAACATTTGCTGTCGACATTCTTCTGCTTTTGTTTCCGCCAGTCCCACACGCACGTTTCGGGAACTCTGAACGACTGCGATGTGGCCCGATTTCTGTCTGTTTCGGCACACGCGATGACTTTTCTTTTAGAAGCGGCATCGTGTTGCACTCGTCGAGTTTTTGGAGTCGGTCCTTTCATGCCGTCGATGCTAATTAAATACAAGATGACGAACTCCTCAGCATACGAACGAAGTGCCGCACATGGGAAACACATAGGCAGAAATGGCCGACGCGCCATGCCGAAGCACGTTGGGAGCGGCCATTTCGGAAATGCCAATGGCAATAGAATGACCGTATTCATTTTTTTTTCGCACTCGATTTTAACGCGCATGCGATTTATCAACTCGCTTAACCGAAAAAAAGGTGCGCGTTAGATTCGAGGAATTATGGTACATTAGTAAAAAAGGATACCATTAGCACTTATTATAAACTAGCAAAAAGGAAGTACCGTATTTTTTTGCATACAACCCACCCCTGCATATAACTCGTACCCCTTTGTTTAGCTGTGCAAAAGGAAAAACGTGCATAGAGTTGCACGCCTGTATAAGA